AAAAAAAAAAAAAACAAAAACAAAACAAAAGCTACAGCATGCTGCACGTGAGATTACATTGCAGACCAGTCGCTGGACCAGAGAGAGATTCTCTATGGCACTTGGGAGAGAGAGAAAGGGAGGACCAAAACTGTTTCACGATAGTCCTCAAAATTAACAACATAGAAAAATTGTAAATAGTGGGTCCAATTCAAGGCATATCTAATTTCGTGAAATGGGTACCATTTTTTTATTTGAAGGAACCAGTCATATCCCTTAGGGTGGCCAAGTAATTAAGTTTTCTAATTGTCCAAATACAACAGAGGTGCCTAATTAGATGCGACTACGGTTTTCATTAGACAATAATGTGGTCGGACACTTGGAGGTTCAATTGAGAAAGATGACGAAAAGCTGATAATAACCCAGAGATTCTGATGAAGATCCATAAGAAAGTACTTAAAGAAAAAGAAAAAGTGGGGATAAAAAAGCCTGAAAAAGAACAGGAAAAACAGGCCTAGTTTTTTTCAGGTGTCTGTAAACTTGGCCAGAGGAATCCATGTCATGTGACCATACAAGGAGCCACTCTGTAATCATCTATTACGAAGACTAATGTGTCTCTCAAGTCCCACCCCGCACCCCTCCTCCTCTCTCTCCTTCCCAAGAAATCTGTACTCTTTTTGCTTTCTTTATTACTTACTTTATTTCACCCAAAAAATCTCAACATTACTCAACCCTTTTGATCACGAGTTGTGTTATGAAGCTACATCTCTAACCCCATCAATTTCACTAAGACATTCTCTAGAGGTTCCTCCCCTCCTTTCTTGGGTTCTCCTCCCATGGTATATCGTTAACACCATACTAATATTCTACTTTCTAATGTCGGAATTTAACTCTTTTTTCTTTTGTACTTTCTTGAATATTAAAAAATAAAAAGGAAGAAAAAATATTAAAATATCCAAACCCAACTGGCATTCTTATGAATGCATCACAAAAGATCTGTTACTTATGAGATTCCTTGAACAATAGGGTAATTAAGAAAACCCAATTTGACTAATTGTTATTTCCTTATCCACTGATTTTCTAGCTTTCGAGATCTCTTTCGAAGAAAACAAATCACAAGGACCTTAATTAATTTAATTGCAATTTGTATTATACAGAAAAAAAGGGTTGCTATCAATTAACTATTTTGAGCTTCATAATACGCAAGCAAGATGCCGTTTCACAGTGAATCTTCCTACTCTTTTGTAGAAATTGATAGTAATATGATTTAATAATTCGTTTCAAATTAATGCATTTGACAAAACCATGACTCCCCGTAGGATCATTTTTTTTTAAAAAATTTTAAAGTGCATTATTTTGATTTTTAATTTAAGCTAAATTTTGTTTTTATGTGAGAAAACTATGATCCAAGCATCAGTTGAAGGAAAACGCGTTTTATGGAAAAATAATAATTTCGTCTACCTAAAAATAGGGTAGCGGTGTTGGATGTTAAGTCATCTCAATTTATAGGCATACTTATACTTTTAATTTGGATT